AGCCTGCAGACTGAAAGGTCCCAGGTTTGAATCCCGTCAAGGGCACGTGCCCAAATTGTGGGCTGGATCCCCAGGAGGGGGCGTGCAGGAGGCAGCCGGTCAATGGCTCATCATTGATGTTTTTCTCTCTCTCCTCTCTTCCTCTCTGAAATCAATAAATATATATATATTTATATATTCATATATACACACACATACACACCAGAGGCCCGATGCACAAAATTCGTGCAAAAGGCTCGGCCCAGCTTTATCCAGAAGGTCATCGGAAGGTCATCTGGGCATTCGTTCCACTGTTCGGCTGTCAGGTCTAATTAGCATATTATGCTTTTATTATTATAGATATTTTTAAATGGGTTTTTTTCCTGTCTTGATTTTGCATGGAATGAGTTAATGAAATGTTAAAAATAAACTTTTTTTTGAGATTTCCATTTATTTTTTGAATTTTCTTAACTTGAACCTTTCAGTGGCCGTTTACCTTCAATGTCATCTTGTGTTCGTTTTAGATGTACTACATAGTGGTTAGACAATCGTGTGCTTAATGCAGTGACCCCCCTCCCCCCCACACCCCTGATATTTCCAGTTCCCAGCCGGCATCATGCATAGTTATTACAGTGCTAGAGACCCGGTGCATAAAAATGCATGCACTGGAGGGGGGTGGGGGTCCATCAGCTCTGCCTGCCCCCTCTCACAGTCCAGGAGTCCTCTGCAGGATGGCAACCTGGTGATCAGGGGAAGGTGATGCCCCATTACACCTCTGCTGCCGCCACTGCCGGCGGCCCAAGCATCCGCCAGCTCTGGTTACCTGAGCCTTGGGCAGCCCTGGGTTACTGGAGGGATGAGAGGACTAGAGGACTCCAGAGGCAGGTGCATGGAGCGGCCAGGCCCGCCTGGGGGCTGACCCAGTGTTGCCTTGTGCCTGCCACCTCAGCGAATGTCACCATCTTGTGGCTGTGGGTGCCACCATCTTTGAGGGTATGACAGTCAATTAGCATATTCCCTCCTTATTGGCTGTGAGCGCCGCCATCTTTGTGACGGCAGGAGGGTCAATTAGCATATTCCCACTTTATTAGATGGGATATTTTGTTATGCTGTTCTTTTACATCCCCATGAGGAGGACGAGGTGGAAAAGGTGAAGGCTCAGTGGATAGGGCGTCGGCCTGCGGACTGAAGGGTCCCAGGTTCCATTCTGATCAAGGACATACTATGATGCCCAGGTGGCAGGCTTGATCCCCAGTAGGGGGCGTGCGGGAGGCAGCCGGTCAATGACTCATCATTGATGTTTCTATCTCTCCCTCCCTTGCTCTTTGAAATCAATATATATATATATATATATATATATATATATATATATATATATATATATATATATATATTAAAGGTGAAGGGATTGAGAAGTACAGCTGGGTAGTAACTCTTGCTTCTTTTTACTTTTTTAATATTTTATTGATTTTTTTTTTTTTACAGAGAGGAAGGGAGAGGGACAGAGAGTTAGAAACATCAATAATGAGAGAGAAACATCCATCAGCTGCCTCCTGCACACCCCCCACTGGGGATGTGCCCACAACCAGGGTACATGCCCTTGACCGGATCGAACCTGGGACCTTTCAGTCCGCAGGTCGACACTCTACTGACTGAGCCAATTCCTAATGATTTTTAGAGGAAGTGGAAGGGAAGGAGGGAAAGAGAGTGCGAGGGGGAGAGAGAGAGAGAGAGAAATGTCAATGGGAGACACATCGGATTGGTTGTTTTCTGAGCACACCCCAACCTGGGAGGAGATCGAACCTGCAATTCACGTAAGTACATGCGTGCCCTTGATGGGGAGTCGAACCCACAACTCTTTGATGTGCAGGTGGGCACTCTAACCACCGAGTCGCCCGGCCGGGGCCCAACAACCTTTTTTTTTTTTAATTGATTTTAGAGAAAGAGAGAGAGGCAGGGAGAGACACAGAGACATCCATTAGCTGTTCCCCTTATCAATGCAGTCACTGCTTCATTCTTGGTTGTGCCCCGACCTCTGGGCTCCAACTGCAACCTTCATGGGGTGTGTGGGGGGGGGGGCGGTTTGAGGAGGGTACGCCCTAACCACTGAGCGACCCAACCAGGGCTCTGGACAATACGATTTCATTCAAGAAAAAAAAAAATGCAGCGCCAGGCCCTAGCTGTGGGAGACAGACATTCATTACTGCCCTCCGCTGACCTCACTGCCCAAGGACCATCCTGAAAGCCCCCCCCACCCCAGACCCTCGTTTTCCTTCTCAGCCCCCCATCCCCATCCCCATCCCACCCTCCCTGTCCCGGTGGTCACCGCACCCACACGCACTTCCCTCCTCGCAGCCCCTTGCATTGTCTCTCCCTGTGTGCGTTCAGTTTCCCCCCCGCCCCGTCCCCAAACCCTCCTGCGCCCACCCCCCAGCTTCCCCACACCCCCCTCCATCCCCGTCTCCCCTGGGGGCCGGGAACCTGACACCCCCCTGGTAGGGCCCTCCCCACACACACTCTCTCCTCAGAGCAGGGGGAGCCTAGGGCCAGGGGGAGCCTGGAAGCAGAGAGGTGGAGTGGCTCTGAGATGTAGGGGAAAGACAGACCCAGAGAAAAGGATGGAGAAAGGAGCAGAGGGACAAAGAGACAGGGAGACCGAGGGGGACGCAGAGAAACACAGAGACAGCGAGACAGACAGACAGACAGACAGACAGTCAGGCAGGCAGGCAGACAGACAGACAGACAGACTCGGTTGGCCCACCGGGGCCAGGGAACAAAAGGGACCTGCACCCCGGAGGTGGGCAGACTTGGAAGAGGGTCCGCAGGGAGGGTCCGGGGCCCTGATACGGGGCAGGGGGCAGAGGTGGGGGGACAGCCCGGGCACCGCCAGGGGACTGTCCGGCAGGGACAAGGGAGCCATTGAGGGCCGCCCGCCCGCCTTCCTGGAAGCGAGGTTGGGAAAGGAGCTGCCGGGAGCATGGCACGGGGCGCTGGGGGCGGACAAAGCCGGATTGTTCCGGGCCTCTCCCCACAGCGCCCCGGCCTGCACCCCGGCCTGCACCCCGGCCCCGGGCAGGGTCGAGTCCCAGCCCGGTGACACACGCTTTCTCACCGCTGGCTCACTCTCTCCCAGCTCAGAGGGACCGGACAGCAGGCGGGTGAGTCACTCCACCCCACTGACCCCGGCTCCCGGGCAGGGCGGAGGACGGGGGTCCTGGCAGAGGCAGACCTAGAAGCCCAGGGAATGAGGAGGGCAAGGCCCCACCTTTCCCTCTCCCACACCCAGGGGTCAGCCCCAGCCCCTGCTCCCTCAGACCCAGAGTCCAGGCCCCCAGCCCCTCCTCCCTCAGACCCAGGGGCCCAGGCCCCCAGCCCCTCCTCCCTCAGACCCAGGGGCCCAGGCCTCCAGCCCTCCTCCCTCAGACCCAGGCCTCCAGCCCCTCCTCCCTCAGACCCAGGGGCCCAGGCCCCCAGCCCCTCCTCCCTCAGACCCAGGGGTCCAGGCCCCCAGCCCCTCCTCCCTCAGACCCAGGGGTCCAGGTCCCCCAGCCCCTCCTCCCTCAGACCCAGGGGCCCAGGCCTCCAGCCCCTCCTCCCTCAGACCCAGGGGTCCAGGCCCCCAGCCCCTCCTCCCTCAGACCCAGGGGTCCAGGTCCCCAGCCCCTCCTCCCTCAGACCCAGGGGTCCAGGCCCCCAGCCCCTCCTCCCTCAGACCCAGGGGTCCAGGTCCCCAGCCCCTCCTCCCTCAGACCCAGGGGTCCAGGCCCCCAGCCCCTCCTCCCTCAGACCCAGGGGTCCAGGTCCCCAGCCCCTCCTCCCTCAGACCCAGGGGCCCAGGCCTCCAGCCCCTCCTCCCTCAGACCCAGGGGTCCAGGCCCCCAGCCCCTCCTCCCTCAGACCCAGGGGTCCAGGCCCCCAGCCCCTCCTCCCTCAGACCCAGGAGTCCAGACCCCCAGCCCCTCCTCCCTCAGACCCAGGGGTCCAGGCCCCCAGCCCCTCCTCCCTCAGACCCAGGGGTCCAGGTCCCCAGCCCCTCCTCCCTCAGACCCAGGGGTCCAGGCCCCCAGCCCCTCCTCCCTCAGACCCAGGGGTCCAGGCCCCCAGCCCTTCCTTCCTCAGACCCAGGAGTCCGGGCTCCCAGGTGCACGTAGGGACAAGGTGCTCCTTCCTGGAAGCTGGGGTCAGGGGTCACCAGGAGCAGGCTGTGGGGGGTGGAAGAATGTGTGTGGGAGGGCAGGAGGAGGAAGAGGGAGGGGCAGCTGCAGCCTCGCGGACCTGGGAGATGTGGGTTAAAAGGAAGCACCCGGGCCGGTGGGGGGAAGACCAGCCTCTTGCAGGGAGGCCCGAAGCCGGCAGCCCTGACGCCCCGGCCCCACGGCCCCTACCTCGTCTGCTCTCTCCCGCCTGCCTCTTCCTCTTTCTCCTCCTGTCGGTCTGTCCGTCTGTCTGTCTCTCTCTCTCTCTCCCGTTCCCAGGCATCCTTGCTGCTTTGCCAGTTTCTTTCCTCCCCTTAGCTCCCCGTGTCTCCGCCTCCACCCGCCCCTGACATGCACTGCCCCTGGGCCGCAGGTAAGACCACCGCACTGCACCCCAGAATCTAAACGTGCAGGTCCTGAGCCCCAGGCGAGCCCAGAGCCCAGGTGCAGAGCAAGATGCATGGTGGGGAAGGATGTCAGGGGCCCCTGGGGCCTGGCCTCCCTCCCTGTGCTTAGGCAGGCAGACAGATGTCACGGAGAAGGAGGGGCAGAGAAAGACTGCGTGAGGCTCCCGCTGCCCTGCACAGGGGCCACGCTGGGGTGTCCCTGGCACCCGCCTTCCAGGGATCCTCAGCTGGGGGCTGGGGTGTAGGAGATGAGAAATACGGAGGCTAGATAAAGATCAGCAATCAGGGGTCAGGGAGGCCTGGGGCAGGCCAGGCCAGGGAGGTGGCGGGGGCCGGAGGAGGGAGGAGGGGGAGGGGCCTGCGTGGGGCCTGAGCAGGGGCCTGATGGAGCACTTGGCTTCCCCTCCCAGGACCGGCCATGAAGATGCTGATGGCAGCGCTGGTCCTGACGGCAGCAGCAGGTGGGAAGGGGGGGAGGTGAGGGATGGAGAGGTCTGGGGACAGGGTGGTGGTGGGGAATGGGGGTTGCTGACAGGGCAGAGATTGGAACTGGAGAATGGGAGCCACACAGGTGTGGAGGGGCACGTGAGTTTGCAACGAGGTAGAAGCGGGATTCTAGGTGAGAGATGGGGGATGCAGACGGGGAGAAGGGGGTGGGAGGTGGCGGGCGGATGGGGGAGAGAGGGAGGACGGGGCTGGCTTTGGGGGTGGTGCTGGCCACAGCTGGGCGTGGGGATGGAGACCATCCGGGGGACCAGGGCAGGACCGGGTTCCCCCCCCCGGCGGGTGCACACCTGCTCTCTCTGACGCCGGCCCGCCCTCCCTCCCGCAGTCCAGGCCAAGAGGAAGGACAAGGTACTGTCGGGCGGGCCCTGCGAGCGGATGTCGCACCCCTACCAGGCCGCCCTCTACAACGCCGGCCGCCTGCTCTGCGGCGGGGTCCTCGTCCACCCGTCCTGGGTGCTCACCGCCGCTCACTGCCAGAAACCGTGAGTTGCCACACCGCGGGCGAACGGACGGACGGACGGACGGAGGGACGGAGGGACAGGGAGTGGTGGCAATGAGAGCCCGCCAAGGTCTTGCAGGCTTCGGGCACGGGGTGGCACGCATTTATCCCCCTCCCCTCCCAGGCCCAGCGCCAGGCCATCTGATAAGCAGTCTCATTTGGCCAATAGTTAATTGAGCAGTAAATGTGGGCCAGGCGGCCGTGTGGGGCCCCGGGGACCGAGCTGAGCCGAGAACCAAACCAGCAGAACCGCCGCTCCGGAGAGCTGGCTGTCTCCCCGGGGGAGGCAGCGCGCAGGGAGCACCCAGGAGGGAGAGATAGGGGGCGGGGGGGGGGGGCAGGGAGGGTTTGTTCTAAGTGCAGGGAGAGGTGAAACCTGCACCAGAGGGTTTGAATCTGGGAAGCAGCAAGATGTGCTTTCATGGTCCAAAGCAATCTGGCTGCCTTGTGGAACGTGCACTGGGCAGGAGGAGGTGAAGGGGTGCATGAGGAGGCCCAGGCCACCATCCGTTAGGGGTTAGGGTTAGGGTTAGGGTTAGGGGTTAGGGTTAGGGTTAGGGTTAGGGTTAGGGTTAGGGTTAGAGTTAGGGGTTAGGGTTAGGGTTAGGGTTAAGGTTAGGGTTAGGGTTAGGGGTTAGGGTTAGGGTTAGGGTTAGGGGTTAGGGTTAGGGTTAGGGGTTAGGGTTAGGGGTTAGGGTTAGGGTTAAGGTTAGGGTTAGGGGTTAGGGTTAGGGTTAGGGTTAGGGGTTAGGGTTAGGGTTAGGGGTTAGTGTTAGCATTAGGGTTAGGGGTTAGGGTTAGAGTTAGGTGTTAGGGTTAGGATTTAGGGTTAGGGGTTAGGATTATGGGTTTAGGTTAGAGGTTAGGGTTAGTGATAGGGGTTAGGGTTAGGGTTAGGGGTAGGGATAGGGGTTAGGGTTAGGGGTAGGGGTAGGGATAGGGGTTAGGTTAGGGATAGGATTGGGTTTGGGGTTGGGGTTAAGGTTAGGGTTACGATTACTGTTAGGTTCAGGGTTAGGTTTGACGCCATAAAATGCTGGCTGGGGCCAGGATGCTGGCTGGTGGTGGGGGTTGATGCAAGCCCTAACCGGTTTGGCTCAGTAGATAGAGCATCAGCCTGTGGACTGAAGAGTCTCAGGTTCAATTCTGGTCAAGGGCATGTACCTTGGTTGCAGGCACACCCCCAGCGGGGAGTGCGCAGGAGGCAGCTGATCGATTTTTCTCTCTCATCGATGTTTCTCTCTCTCTCTATCCCTCTCCCTTCCTCTCTGGGATTAGAAACCTTGGGGTCATTTTGAGACGAAGCCAGCAGGACTTGGTGGTGTGGGATGGGAGGGGAAGGGAGCCAGCCAGGCTGGCTCCAAGGATTTGGCCTGGACTGCGGGGCAGTTGTGTCTTTGGCTGCGTCTTCGTAGTCGGAGGAGGGGGATTGAGAAGCAGCTTGGGATGGGAGCAAGGGAGCCCCAGGCTCTTTTTGCTTTTGCCAAGGTGAGTCTGGGAGACCGGGGGCATGCCCAGGACGGGTGCCAGGTCGGAGCAGGAGATACAGACGCAGGTGGCGTCCGCCGGCAGACAGGTAGCATTTAAAGGCACGGCACCCGATGAGATCACCCAGAAAGCGGGCCGGATAGAGGAGCGGAGAGGGCCTGGGACACATCCCCGGGGCGCAAAAAGCCACGTGTTAGACCAGCGGTTCTCCACCTTCCTAACGCCCGCAGCCCTTTAATACAGTTTCTCATGTTGTGTTGGCCCCCAACCATACAATTATTGTCATTGCTGCTTCATAACTGTAATTATGAATCATAATGTAAATATCTGTGTTTTCCGATGGTCTTAGGCTCTACAGTAGCGGTTCTCAACCTGTGGTAGCTAGCAGGGTCGCCTAAGACCATCGGAAAACACAGATTATTTACATTATGATTCATAATTACAGTTATGAAGTAGCAACGACAATAACTTTATGGTTGGGGGGTCACCACAACATGAGGAGCTGTATTAAAGCGTCTAGGCATGCCCTAACCGGTTTGGCTCAGTGGATAGAGCGTCGGCCTGCGGACTGAAAGGTCCCAAGTTCGATTCCGGTCAAGGGCATGTACCTTGGTGGCTGGCACATCCCCAGTAGGAGGTGTGCAGGAGGCAGCTGATGGATGTTTCTCTCTCATCGATGTTTCTAACGCTCTCTCCCTCGCCCTTCCTCTCTGTAAAAAGTCAATAAAATATGTTAATAAATGAATAATAAATAAAGGGTTGCAGCCTTAGGAAGGTTGAGAACCACTGCACTCGATGAACAAACAGCTGCTGAGCGCTGACGACGGGCCAGGTGCCCAGGGAGGCAGGGACATTCCAGGTCCACAGGAAGGGCCTGTAGGCCCCATTTTGGCTGCTCTGTTGACTAATGAGTTTGCCGACAACTGGTCTAGAGCCGTGGGCGGCAAACCGCGGCTCCCGAGCCACAGGCAGCTCTTTGGCCCCTTTTGGCTCTTCCCACAAAATACCACGGCCTGAGCGAGTCTTATATTGAAAAAAGTGGCATCAGAAGAAGTGTAAGTTTTAGAAACGTGGCTCTCCAGAGACATTTCAATCATTGTCCTGTTGATAGTTGGCTCCGTGGACAAATGAGTTTGCCGACCACTGGTTAGCGTCGCAACATCCGCCGCCAGTGGCTCCCTAAAACCACGTGAATAAAGACTGGATGAAACCCCAAATCCACCGGACACGCTCCGTGGTTGCCCGTGGCCAGTGGCCCTGGGTCACGTCGCACAGATACGTCCTCATCCTCGCAGACGGTTCTGTCTGTCGGGCACTGAGGCGGTGGTGGGAGGAGGGACAGTAAGACAGGTAGATACGTAACAGCACCTACATTATCCACAAAAGAATAATGATAGGGCTCCTGGTGGAGACAGGAGCGGGAGATAAGGACTACCTGTTGGGGTGGATATTTACATCTTAATTGGGTTGCAGGGAAGGCCTCCGATGAGGAGGTCACCTGTGAAGTAGGCGAGGGAGGGAAGAAGCACGCAGACATCTGGGGGGTGGGGAATAGTTGCTGGCTGAGGGAGCAGCCAGAGCACAGGCCCTGGGATGGAAGGATGGCTGTTGTGTTCAAGGAAAGGCAGGGAAACCAGTGTGGCCAGAGAAGACAGAGAGAGGGGGAGGGGAGAGGGAAAGGTAGGAGCTACCTATGAGGTGACAGGGAGGACCATGTTGGCCCTGGTGAGGACTTTGGTCTCTCCTCAGAGTGAGTGGGGAGTCATCGGAGAATTTTCAGCAGGCCAAGGACAGGACCAACGTATGTTGTTAAAATACCTATGGCTGCCCTAACCCATTTGGCTCAGTGGATAGAGCGTCGGCCTGCGGACGGAAGGGTCCCAGGTTTGGTTCCAGTCAGGGGCACATACCTTGGTTGCAGGCACATCCCCAGTAGGGGGTGTGCAGGAGGCAGCTGATCAATGTTTCTCTCTTATCAATGTTTCTGGCTCTCTATCCCTCTCTCTTCCTCTCTGTAAAAAATATATTAAGCCGAGACCGGTTTGGCTCAATGGATAGAGCGTCAGCTTGGGGACTGAAGGGTCCTGGGGTCGATTCCGGTCAAGGGCATGTACCTTGGTTGCAGGCACATCCCCAGTGGAGGGTGTGCAAGAGGCAGCTGATCGATGACTCTCTCTCATCGATGTTTCTAACTCTCTATCTCTCTCCCTTCCTCTCTGTACAAAATCAATAAGAATAATTAAAAAATAAAAATAAAAAAATATTTAAAAATATATTTTTTAAAAAAAGTCTCCAAGTTTATGCTGGAAGGATAGCATCGTCCCTTGCTGAGCTGGGGAGATGGAAGGAAACAGGCCAGATAGTTCCTGGAGCACCAGGCTGCCCCCCCCCCCCCGTCCCGCCACCACCCATCTGGAGTCTCAGCCTCAGCCCAGGGGCTCCAGGTGCGACCCCGCCCTCCTCCTCTTTCCCAGGAACCTGCAGGTCTACCTGGGGAAGCACAACATTTACGAGCGAGAGAGCTTCCAGGAGCAGAGCTCGGTGGTCCAGACCGTGGTCCACCCCGGCTTCAACGCCGGCACACACGACCAGGACATCATGCTGCTACGCCTGAAGCGCCCAGCCAACCTCTCGGACCGCATCTGGCCCCTGGACCTGGAGAGGGACTGCTCGGCCAACCGCACCAGCTGCCAGATCCTGGGCTGGGGCAAGACCGCCAGTGGTCAGTAAGACAGGGACGATGGGGAGGCGGGCCAGTGGGCCAAAGGGGGAAGGGTCAAAGGTGAAGGTGGTCCCATGGTGAGGACCCATGGGGCAGTGTGTCGCTGGGCGAAAGGTCAAAGCGGAGGGAAGACAAATATGGAAGTTGGGCTAAATGAGTGAATAGCCAGTGGGAGAAAGTAGACCAGTGGGTGAATGGTAACGGCTGGGTGGGCCATAAGGTGATGGGTCAGTGAGGAGGAGGAGGTCCAATGGGGAGACGCCAATCGGAAAGGAGGCCAGTTGTCTAAAGGGACCAATCAGGCTGCACTGGTGATCAAGAAGGGTCAGTGGAGGAGGGACTAATGGAAGAAGAGAGATGAAGAAGGCAGGAGAGCCAGCTGAAGGGTGTGAATTGACAGAGTGGATGGGCAGAGAGAGCTAATGGGGGCGGGACCATGGGGGAAGAGTGAATAGTCTAACGGAGTCACTAGAAGGAAAAAGAAGTCCAATAAATCAGCAGGAACCATTGACCTGTAAGTGAAGGGCCAAAAAAGAAGGTCCCCTATTGGATGAAGGGTCAATGGAAAGGTAGAGCCATTTAGGAAAGGACCAATGAGGGAGATGGACCATTGGATGTAGGGCCAATAGTAAGGGAGAGCCATGTAGGAAAGGACCAATGAGAGAGGTGGCCAATTGGATGAAAGGCCAATAGGAAGGGAGAGCCATGTAGGAAAGGACCAATAATGGAGGTGGACCATTGGATGAAAGGCCAATAGGAAGGGAGAGGCATTTAGGAAAGGACCAATGAGGGAGGTGGGTAGACCATTGGATGAAGGGCCAATAGGAAGGGAAAGCCATTTAGAAAAGGACCAATGAGGGAGGTGGACCATTGGATGAATGGCCAATAGGAAGGGAGAGCCATTTAGAAAAGGACCAATGAGAGAGGTGGACCATTGGATGAAGGGCCAATAGGAAGGGAGAGCCAATGGGCAAAGAAGGGTCCAGTTAGGAAATGTCTAATGGTCCAGTGATGACCAACCAAGATGAACCAATGAGCAAGAACGGTCCAGTGAAGGACAAAGGAGTGTGACAGGGGCGGTCACTCATAGAGGAAGCTTCTGGAAGTTAGCTGGAACTACTGGAGAAGGTGGGACCCGTGGAGGAGAGAGAAGCGGAGGCAGGACCTAGGAAGAAAGGAAAAGCCAACAGGAAATGAGGACTCCTGGAGAAGGGAGGGACTGATGAGGAAGACAAGCCAACGGGAGGGAAGAGTGGCAAACGAGGGACCTATCAAGAGTCAAGGCCGATGGCAATGGGTTTTAAGAACAAGAGACAAATGGGGAGAAGGGAACCAGTGGGGGATGGGGACTAGCAGAGGAGAGAGGAATGGTAGGGCTGGTAGGGCTCGGATGGTAGCTGGGGAAGATGTGGGAAGGATGGCTCCTGAAGTGAGCCTCCCCCCCACTCTCTCTCTCTCTCTCTCTCTCTCTCTCTCTCTCTCTCTCTCATATCAGGTGTGTTTCCTAACACCATCCAGTGTGCAGATGTCCACCTGGTACCTCGTGAGGACTGTGAGAAGGCCTACCCCGGCCAGATCACCGAGAACATGGTGTGTGCCGGGGACGAGAAGTACGGGAAGGATTCCTGCCAGGTGAGGCCCATGGCCGGATCCGCCAGTTACACAGCAAAGAACAGAGACACAAAAACACAGACAGAGACAGGAAGGAAGAGACACACACACAGAGACCTTAACTGGGCTTTACAGAGACGTTGAGGCATAAAAAGGGTGAGAGAGCCCTGGCTGGTCTGGCTCAGTGGATAGAGCGCCGGCCTGCAGACTGAAGGGTCCTGGGTTTGATTCCGGTCAAGGGCACATGCCCGCGTTGTGGGCTTGGTCCCCTGGTGGAGGCGTGCAGGAGGCAACCGATCAATGATTCTCTCTCATCATTGATGTTTCTATCTCTCTCTCCCTTCCTTTCTGAAATCAATAAAAAATATATTTTTTTTATTTTATTGCATTTTTTACAAAGTAGAAGAGAGAGGGATAGAGTCAGAAACATGAATGAGAGAGAAACATTGATCACCTGCCTCCTGCACACCCTCCATTGGGGATGTGCCTGCAACATCCTTGACCAGAATCGAACCTGGGACCCTTCAGTCCGTAGGTTGACGCTCTATCCACTGAGCCAAACTGGTTAGGGCAAAAAATAATATATATATTTAATAAAAAGAAAAGGTGAGAGACTCAATTCACACTCAGAGACACATCCAGCAAAGATGGGAAATGCCACCAGGCATGGAGATGGAGAGGTAGAGAGCAAGAACCAGAGAGACACCATAAAGAGGCAGATGGCATGAGGGCGTGTCTTTCCTCAAACAGAGCCCACAGGTCCTGCTCAGACACAGCCACGCTGGGAAAGAGGGGGACCCTAGCTGGGGAGAGAAGGGACTCCATCCCCAAATACCTTTCACTTGGGTTTCCTCCACTGTGGTCCACTGGGTCTCTCCACCTTATTCCAAAACTTAGCCTTGAAGGACCTGTGCCAGCCAAGGAGAAGATGAATAATACACAGTGAACTGGGTGACACAGTGAAGAGAAAAGACATCTCTCTCTCCCTTTCTCCCTCCCTTCACCTGTCGGGCTCTGTTCCGTTCTTAACCTTTATTCTTTTTCATACACACACACACACACACACACACACACACACACACACACACACACACATATATATATATATATATATATATATATATATATATATATATATATATATACTGTATATACACTGAGTGTCCAGATTACTATGATCTCTGAATGTATAATAATCTAGCCATTTTGTGTATATCCTATATAATAAAAGGCTATTATGCAAATTGTATATCCTATATAATAAGAGGCTAATATGCAAATTGTATATCCTATATAATAAAAGGTTAATATGCAAATAAAACCCCTTGACCAGGAGTTCAAACAGCAGTCAGGCCAATCGCCCATGTCCCCTCCCCCTGGACAGGCTGGCCAGACCCCACCCATGCACGAATTCATGCACTGGGCCTTTAATATATATATATATATATATATATATATATATATATATATATATATATATTGTGTGGTGAGATTATTATGCGTTCAGAGATCATAGTAATCTGGCCACTCAGTGTGTGTGTGTGTGTGTGTGTGTATATATATATATATATATATATATATATATATATATATATTAGAGGCCTAGTGTATGAGATTCATGCACTGGTGGGGAGGGGTCCCTCAGCCTGGACTGCACCCTCTCACAGTCTGGCACCCCTCAGGAGATGTCTAACTGCCGGCTTAGGCCCAATCTCCGCCAGCAGTCAGACATCGCTCTCGTGGTCCGGGGCTCCCACAGACCAGGACTTCTCACCCCTTACTGGCGGCCTACAGTGGAGGCAGGAGTGGCTCCCACCACCCGCTCTGCGCTCACCAGGCGTGAGCAATGAGGGCAGCTCCTGCATGGAGCATCTGCCCCCTGGTGGTCAGTGCGAGTCACAGCAATCGGTCGTTCCACCGTTTCGTCATTTTTGCATATTAGGGTTTTAGTATATAGAATATATTATTGATTTCAGAGAGGAAGAGAAAGGGAGAGAGAGATAGAAACATCAATGATGAAAGAGAATCATTGATCGGCTGCCTCCTGCATGCGACACACTGGGGATCAAGCCCACAACCCAGGCATGCACCCTTGTCTGGAATCGAACCCGGGACCCTTCAGTTCACAGGCCGACCAATGCTCTATCCACTGAGCCAAACTAGCAAGGGTTATTCTTTTTTCTTTCTCTTTTTCTCTCTGTGTCTGTTTCTCCATGCTCCTGAGTTTCCCTCGGTGTCTCTATTTCCCTGTGTGTGACTGTGTGTGACTGTGTGTGTGTGTGTGTGTGTGTGTGTGTGTCTGTCCCCTAGTATTTCTCTCCATCTCTGGGTGTCTCTCCCTTTCTACATGTCCGAGTCCACTCCTATCTCTCTGTCTTTCTCTCCCTGTATTATTGACTCTCTCCTTTTTCCCCTCCGAAGGGCGATTCCGGGGGCCCCCTGGTGTGTGGAGGCCGTCTCCGAGGCCTGGTATCCTGGGGTAACGTCCCTTGCGGATCCAAGGAGAAGCCGGGGGTCTACACCAACGTCTGCAGATATAACCAGTGGGTCCGGAGAACCATTTGGGCCAACGCCTTCTGACAGGTGGCATCCAACCCTTGACCTCAGCCCCTACTCACCGCCTCTAAAATATCCCTGATCAAGATCACGCCTCCTCCTTCTCCCGCTCCTGCCCAGAATCAACCCTTAATGCTTCCTTCTGCCTGGTTTGACCTCAACCCCATCCCTGGGCTGAGGGGGACCCAGGCTGAGGTCTTGCCCCCACCACTAAGAGAAAACAGGAACCTCGCTTCTGAGCAGCCCTCCCTCCGGATCATCCCAGAGGCATGTTGTCTCCCCGAAGAGGAGTAGTCACACGCCTGGAGAAACCCGATCCGAAGTGGAATCCCAGCTCTGCCTCTTGCTACCCGTGCAGACTCACATCTGTAAAGTAGATATAATAAGAAGATGCTCCTTGTAACTCAGGGGCCGCAGCTGGGAGGGTTCGAGGTCTCGAACGTGGGAAACGCGGGCACCGGGGCCTGCCTGCTGAATAAAGAGTAAATGTTGCTGAAACCGGTATGGCTCAGTGGATAGAGCATCCACCTGCAGACTGAAGGCTCCCGGGTTCAATTCCGATCAAGAGCATGTATATTGGTTGTGGGCACATCCCCAGTAGGGGGTGTGCAAGAGGCAGCTGATCGATGTTTCTCTCTCATCGATGTTTCTAACTTTCTATCCCTCTCCCTTCCTCTCTGTAAAAAAGCAATAAAATATATTTTAAAAAAATTTAAAAAAAAAGAGTACATGTCATTGTCTGGTGACACGTTTTGCTTTTCTACTACTTCTGCTGCCCCGGGACCCAGCTGTGCTCAGTTCTTTTAAGCAGCCTTGCGGGATTGGGCAGTTCATCTTCCAGGCTCCACGGGAGACGATGCCAGGCCTTGAATGCCCGGCGGAAGTGGTGGGCCTTGTCCTGAGGGCCTTGAGAGGAGGAAGGACGGGGTCAGATCTGGGTATTGGGACAATCTCACAGGGGGTGCTTTCGAGGTGGGAGGAATGGGCAAGGAGGAAAAGGCCTTCAAAAAAAATGAGGGGAGCCGAAACCAGTGTGGCTCCGTGGATAGAGCATCAGCATGCAGACTGAAGGGTCCCAGGTTCGATTCCGGTCAAGGGCATGTACCTTGGTTGCGGGCACATCCCCAGGGAGGGGCATGCAGGAGGCAGCTGATTGATGTTTCTAACTCTCTGTCCCCCTCTCTTTCTTTCTGTAAAAAAACAAACAAACAAACAAAAACACCAATATATTTTTTATTGATTTTTTTCACAAAGAGGAAGGGAGAGGGATAGAGAGTTAGAAACATCGATCAGCTGCAACAACCCCCCCCCCCGCATACCCCCCACTGGGGATGAGCCCAAAACCATGGTACATGCCCTTGACCGGGATTGAATCTGGGACCCTTCAGTCCGCAGGCTGATGCTCTATCCACTGAGCCAAACTGGTTTCGGCAATAAAATGTATTTTTTTAAAAATGAGGGGAGCAGACAAACAGAGCTGAGTGAGGGCCCAGGCTTCCCATGCTCTCTGGGGTTCTCCCATCAACCCCCACCATGCATGACCCCATCCGGTGTACACCCTTCTGTCCCCAACCCCGGGCCCAGGCCTGTCCTCAGAGAGTCTTTCTTCTCTTACACCCACCGCGGCCATATCTCTGAGGAAGACAAACCAACACGTACGTCACGTGTCCTCCCAGGATATGAGTGGGAAAGGTGGTAGCTTCCCAGAGAGAGGCACTGGAGGCGGCCAATCAATGAACCTCTCTCATCATTGATGTCTATCTCTCTCCCCCTTCCTCTCGGAAATCAATAGACAAATATAATTTTATGTTGAAATACTTCCTGCATGGAGCTGGGGTGAGGAGCAGAGAAATACTCAGGAACAAAGAGAGTGTCAGAAATGATAATTCATTGCCCTAACCCGTTTGGCTCAGTGGATAAAGCGTCGGCCTGCGGACTGAAAGGTCCCGGGTTTGATTCCAGTCAAGGGCATGTACCTTGGTTGCGGGCACATCCCCAGTGGAGGGTGTGCAGGAGGCAGCTGATCGATGTTTCTCTCCCATCAATGTTTCTAGCTCTCTATTTCTCTCCCTTCCACTCTGTAAAAAATCAATAAAATATATATATATTTTTTTTAAATGATAATTCATGTGGTACTAGAAATACACTTACAAGATCCGAAAATGAGACAAGCCGTACTGGTTAGGCTGAGAGGCAAATGCATCAGTCTGTAGTGAGTTTCTTTCTGAGCCACCGGTTCTTTTGAGTCCCAGTTTCAATGTCCAACAGTTCCTTGTGTGTACACGTCAGCCATGGTATTTCAGTTCTGGATGGTGGACAAATGGTGGTTATCGCTTATCTCATTTTTGATTCTTATAAGTGTATTTCTAGTATCACATGATCTCACTCATCTAGGGGAAATAATGACCAGCATAAACAGATGAACAAAAACAGACTCAGAGACAGGTAAGCATCAATCAGACTGCCAAACCTCAGAGGGAAGGGTGGGGGTAAGAGGGAGAGATCAACTAAAGGACTTATGTGCATACATATGAGCCTAACCAGTGGTCACGGACAACAGGGGAGTGGGGGCATGCATGGGGAGGGGCTTGGGATGAAAATGGGAGGATGAAGACAAATATGTGATACCTAAATCAATGAAGAAATTAAAAAAAGAAGAAGAAATATCAATGAAGAAATTAAAAAAAGAAGAAGAAATGATAACCCATTTGTTTTACACATATTGAAGACAACCCTATTTTGCCCAGAGTAGAATGAGATTGGAAGTTATTAAACTAAGTGACTGAATCATAGGGGACATTCAAAATTAATTCTATCTCTCTCTATTTTTTTTTAATTCTCACCCAAGGATATATTTTTATTTATTGAGAGAGAGAGAGAGAATCATCTATATGCGACAGAAACATCGATTGGTTGCCTCTCATACACACCCCAACTGGGTATCTGCCCTGACCAGGAATGGAACCTGCGACCTTCTCAATGTACAGGAGGGCTCTTCAACTCCCTGAGCCACCAGCTGGGGCAACCCCGTGTCATTCTCACTATAAGAGAGATGTGGTCCCAAGAGAGAGGGGCTATATAAGAAGAACAGAGTCCCTCAGCTCCAAAGAGCGTTAGAGTTGGAGAAACAAACATTACATGTCTTAAGAGCCAAGGAAATGTGAAATTTTTTAAAAATACATTTTATTGATTCTTTTACAGAGAGGAAGAGAGAGGGATAGAGTTAGAAACATTGATGAGAGAGAAACATCGATCAGTTGCCCTTCACACACACACACACACACACACACACACACCCCACGGAGGATGTGCCTGCAACCAAGGTACATGCCTGTGACCGGAATCGAACCTGGGACCTTTCAGTCCGCAGGTTGACCCTCTATTCACTGAGCCAAACCCACGAAGGCAGGAATGTGAAATGTTTTCAAAGGGGTGCGATAGGAAGTGGTGGTTGACTTTTTTTTTTTTTTTTTTTTTTACAGAGAGGAAGGGAGTGGGATAGAGAGTTAGAAACATCGATGAGAGAGAAACATCCATCAGCTGCCTCCTGCACACCCCCCACTGGGAATGTGCCCGCAACCAAGGTACATGCCCTTGACCGGAATCAAACCCAGGACCTTTCAATCTGCAGACCAACGCTCTATTTACTGAGCCAAACCAGTTTCATCTGGTGGTTGACTTTTACCAGGTGAGGACAGGGAAATATTGAGTCCTGGGAAGGGACTGGGCCTGCTTTAACCAACCCCTTCTGCGAGTTATAAAGACATCACCAGGAGGAACCCAATTAATGTCCAGGCCACAATAGCAATGAACACTGGGCACATGCGGTATGCTGTTCTAAAGGACTGTATCTACTGACTCATGTAATCCTCACAGCAAGCATTAAGTTCCCTAATTACAGAGAGGGAAGCTGAGGCTTAGAGAGGCTCAAGGGATAGCCCAAAGGCTTACAGATAACTAGAGGCCCAGCACACGAAATTGGTGCATGGGGGACGGGGTCTCTCAGCCCAACCTGCACCCTCTCCAATCCGGGACCCCTTTGGGGTGGGGCCTAAACCGGCAGTTGGACATTCCTCTCGTAATCCAGGACTGCTGGCTCCTAACCGCTTGCCTGCCTGCCTGCCTGCCTGATCACTCATAAACACTCGCCTGCCTGCCTGATCACCCCTAACTTGCCTCCCTGCCAGACTAATCACCTCCTAACTGACTCCCTGATGGCCTGGCCACCCTCTAACTGCCCCCCCCCCCGGCCTGGTCACCCCATAACTGCCCCCCTGCCGGCCTGGTCATCCCCTGTCCAGAAGGAAGTCTGACATCCAGAAGATGTCTGGTTGACCCAGTCTAATTAGCATATTACCCTCTTATTAGTATAGATGGGTGGCCACATTGCCCTGGCTGGTGTGCTCAGTGGTTAGAGCATCAGCCTGTGGACTGAAAGGTCCCAGGTTTGATTCCAGTGAAGGGCACATGCCTGAGTTGCAGGATCCATCCCCAGTAGGAGGGGCGTGCTGGAGGTAGCCGATCAATGATTCTCTCACATCATTGATGTTTCTAAGTCTTTACCTCTCTCTTCCTCTCTTAATCAATAAAAAATATATTATAAAAATATATTAAAAAGTAAAAATTGATGTCCTATCTGATTTGGCTCTGTGGATGGAGCATTGGCCTGCGGATTGAAGGATCCTGGGTTCGATTCTGGTCAAGGGCATGCATCCTGGTTGTGGGCATATCCCCAGTAGGGGGTTTGCTGGAGGTAGCTGATCGATGATTCTCTCTCATCGATGTTTCTAACTCTCTATCCCTCTCCCTTCCTCTCTGTAAAAAATTAATAAAATTTCTTTAAAAAAAAATAAAAATCGAGATCAACCAAAAGACTTGTGTGCATGCAAATAAGCATAACCAATGGACAGAGACAGCAGGGGGGTGAGGGCATGTACAGGAGTGGGGTGGAGGGGTGATGGGGGGGATATAGACACATATGTAATACCTTAATCAAAAAATAAATAAACAAATTTAAGTGAAAG